TTTCCTCTTGAAAATAGCATTTCTTTCTGTAAAATTGGACTTCTAACCCTTTTCAAATTGCAGCAACAGTTGCTTTTCTAAGGTCACTGCTGATGTTTTGCCACCTTAAGATTATGTCTATTTTCCAGAACCCTAAACTGACATAATTCCTACTTTACTCATGATACTGGCTTCACAGAGACCTCTGCATTTCTACTTATGAACTCAGCATGTTTGTTGCTTTAATCGTTGAAATGGGTATTACACTAATCTATCTGACATACAACATACTTAAATTTAAACTGTGTCCAAATGAGCATGATTTTCTACGTATAGTTGTTTTCATAATGGTGTTAGACGCAAAAAAAAATTTCTTGAAACAATAAAAAACATTATGCAGGAAAAATATTGCTAATCCTGTTGCTTCGGTAGGTCTGAGAGAAGAGACTGTAGTTGAGAAGTCCATTTCTGTGTTGGAAAAAAAGCTGATTATATAACAACAATTATGTAATCAACAGCTCAAACGCAGAACAAAGGATAATGTGACAAAGGGTGAAGCACGTGGGCAGAAAAGAGATTTACAGCTGTGTGATTATTTTACCCAACACTAATGATTTTCTTCTTTTCAACAGAAAGAAATAAGTTACATATATAATTTGTTTGGAGATAAGCACCTGCCCTCCACATGACCCTGATAAGCAGGTATAGACAATGGTTTATAGATGGATGGGAAGCTAGATAGATGTTTGAAAGCAAGATATCAAACAATATAAAGAATGAAAATATGTCTTATTGCCCTTACTCACCAAGTTCTTCACCTTACTTCATCCCAAGCCTTCGCAGACAGTGTGAGCAAAAAGGACAGAGAGGAAATGTAAAAACTATGAATGAGAGAAAGCATGCTTTTTGATTGGTAACATACTTTTGTTTTGTTTGAAGGTAAAATGTCAGACACCCCATAGCAGCCTCCACAAAAGATGTTCAAATTTAATTTTAAATTAACGAGTAACAAAATAATTGCATAGAATATATACACAATAAAGAGCTGTGAAGAGAAATTATTTTGTCTGATAGTAAAATGGAAAATAATTAAAGGAATGCTTGCAATACATTTGGTGAAAAGTGGTTTTTCAAGGTTTCTTCAGTGGTGCTTAGCTTGAATGAGATGAGGCATACCTGTGCAGAAAAGGTTTAGTTGCTAAATTTTAATCAGGGTGAAGTGTTATTCAAACATGAAGTCCTGAATTCACTTAGTTCTACTTTAATCTCAGTCTTCATATTTCAATTTAGCAATCAGTGGATTTCCAAACCTTTAGTCAGTTGACAGAAAACATGTTTGAAATGTAAAGAGAGGATCAGTGGTAGGTATTAAACAGCCTTTTTACCTGCCCTTCCTTTGTACAAAACAATCACATTTTGGAGTCAAAATCTAAAAATTACAGGTAAATTTGGCGAATGTTGTTTTGCAAAGTCAATAATTAATTATAAAACACTGTTTTGATTAAAATAAAACATTTAAGAGGTATTAGTACTAGGTATAGATGATGATATCAAATAAAGGGGAGATGTTGTGGGCGTGTCGCGTCATCTCCATTTTGAATGTTGCTAGAATACTTTCTCTTGCTGGTTCTCTCAACTTTATTTTCCATCATTTCATGATAAAGTCACATTAGAAAAATATGTTCTGCTTCTGCACTTCCCATTTACAAACCCTTTGTTTTTCTTGGCTTGCTTCAGGATCACTAGCTTAGTGTTAGCTCAAGCACTATCAAGGTTTGGCTAGCCCGTCGGTGGTGTTATACTTCAGTGTCTGCCTCAATCTCCCTTTCTGTTCTCATTAAATTAAATCACCAATTCAAAGCTGTTCTGCTTTGTGTTTTAAATGTTTAGCTTGCCCTGTTTCTCCTCTAATGATAGCTGTAGGTGTAGTAAACTTCTGATTTGTTGGAGGTAAGGATGTGGAAATTGGAGGATAAAGTTGGGGTTAAGGTAAGTAAGAACCAACGGTTCAACATCATCTTGTCTGCCTTTCTAAACCATTTTTGCCAGCTGGTGGCAGACCAGCTAAGAATGATAAGGGGCTTTTCTACTGGCAAGTTGGGCTCTAACCAGTTAACGTGCGGTTCGGTTCAGCCCAGTGAGCTTTTCCATCATGCAGTCTGTTCCTCACTTTTGTGGACAGGATGTGAGTACGGAGCAGCTGTAGTTAACTGTTCGCTAATGTTTGTGGTGACATTCAGCAATGGAGGACCTGTAGGATGGAGTCAAACCCAGACATTTCATTTTGTCATACAGAAGTTCATTGCTGGCCCAAGGATGATGATAAAGCCTCAGTTCAGCTGATTATTTTTGCTATTCATATAATTATATTTTAGCACTTTATTTTTTAAAACGTGCTGTCAAAAGATGTAAACCAATCTTTCCGTACTGAGCAGCTTTCTGATAGCAGACGGCATGTCCGCGGTCCACAGCTAAACTATAATGTGGTTTGAAGTTTTCAGTGATGTAAATCATGAGCCAATCAATCCATGCTGACTCAGCTGCCTGTCAATCAAATTGCTTTGGTGCCGTACCTGGCTTGGTGTGACTAGTCTCCGATAATAGACACTCTGTTTTCAAGTTGTAAATCATGCTACTTATACATTACTGTCATGAAACAGTTTTGTGCCCAGTTTTGCCAATGTGTCTATCCAATGTAATGCAGTATAAAACCATTATCTCCCAATTTGACTAAAGCTCTCTGTGGAAAAGTTTCCTTTCTGCACTTCTGGTTGGACGAAGTCTTCAATAAACTTTGCCCGCCTAATTTTCAAAGTAAATGTTTTTCTGTCTGGTTTTAGCAAACCGAAAGTCTCCTGTGTTTTAGCCAGAGACTCAGCAGTACACCTGCTTCACCTAACATTCTCCACCTGTTCGCTTTTCCAACTCAACCATCCTCTGTAATTTAAAGAGCCGCCGCTCTCCTGGTGTTTGTCGAGAGGTCAAAGGGGTCACCAGCCCAGATGACCGGTGGGGCCTACCAGAGCAGGTGTTTGACCATGTCGGCGCAGTGGTTAATTATCTGACCTCCCTCTCAACAATGTGGGGGCCCCCGGCAAGCTCCATATTGCTGCCATATCGTCATGACAACACATCAGATGGACTCTGTGGGGCTAGACGTGAATTTTCGAGATGGTGGTGTTGAATTTTTATGGAGATGATTATGAATAAAGGGAAAAATAATTACAGTTCTGCTTTCGCCAAAACCCACTTCATCTCTGTGTGTGTGTGTGTGTGTGTGTGTGTGTGTGTGTGGATGTGGGATCCCTGGAGCTCTGCGGCGAGGGCCACCTGATTCCATTCCAGATGAAATGGGATAGCAACACAATTATCTCAAGTCCAATTCTTAGAGACCTATTGTGTCTGTAAACCGAGCCTGAGCGAAGGATTAATGTGTCTGAGGGGTTTAGGAGGGAGGGATGCAGGGAGGCAGTGGAAAGCTGTTGCTTCATCTCTCCAGTGAATAGACTCTAAGCTCTAACCATCAGCGAGGTGGAGGAGGGAATGCAGAGAATCAGATGTGGAGGAGCAGCAGAAGAAAAAGGAGGAGGGACTGGCCTTCACCAACAACAGCAAGAAAAGAGGAAGAAACACAGAGACAACAGAACAAAGAAACCTCATTTACACTGTCAGCTGTAATGTGCGTAACCACCACAAGTATTAGCGCCCACCCAGAAAGAAGTGTGGAGGCAGAGGGTGAGGAAGGAGGAGAATCAAAGGCTGTCCCTGCCATCGCCACAGCAACAGATGGGCAAAACGCTGGCCCGCTCTCCCAGGACGCTCGGCTTCCCTCATCTGCTATAATTTACCATCCAATGATGAAATGACAAGTAAGAGTCCAAATCTCAGGCTGAGCGGAGTTCAGGTTTCACTGAGCCAGCGCGCCGGCCGCTTCGGGAGCAGAACTAACAATCACAGGAGTCACGCTGCTGGGAGCAGCACTTCCATCCGCGGTAATGGTGATAGCGGCTCGGGGAATATTTAGGTGTAGCATTAGCAGAAAATCTCTATTTCAAACAGCAACTGGAGATCAGCTGAAGTCTGTTCAGGTGATGGCTCCACGCTGCTCGTCATTGTGTGTAAAAGTAGAGGTGGCTCGGGAGGAAATGTTACCAGCATTAACGGAAAATTAAGCTCGGTGTACAAATCTGTGCTAAAGCTATTTTCGATTCCAAAGGCTTATAAATAAATGATCTGTTAATGTTCTTTGGGTACAGGGACGGGTACATAAAAACAGCAGGTGGAGCAAAGTAAAACACTCATATTTAATGTGATGACGTGGGGAAGACATGGCTGGAAGCCTTTTATAGATTCCTGAAATACACTGGAGTGTAAATTAAAATCCTCTCTTTAGAAATATTTGCACCATAAATATCTGGTCAACTGTTCCATGGGCCACAGTGGTTGAAGCATACTTTCTAACTTTCTTTGGACTTGGTCTTCAAATACTTTTGCACTGTGCAGATGCTCAGTGACACGATGAAGAGCTGTGTCATCTACAACTACCCATGATGTCATCTTGAGGTGCCAGAAAGGTGCTGCCATCAGTTCAAGTCTTAAAAGCTGACAGAAGATTTACTAGTGATGTAATTGATCAATTGTAAGGACTTTAGCGCACCCTGACGGTACTGGATTGGACTAGATTTCAGAACAACCTGAACTCTTCATGTCCAACACAACAAGGTGTCTAAAAATCCCCTCTAGGATCTTTGCCCATGTTAAGATAGCATCCTGCTTCCCCACATTCTCACACTGGACTGGAACCAAAGCAATTCTTCTAGGTCTCCTTACTGCATTTCGTTACCACATGTGATTGACACATTCACTTTTCTATTAACAAGAACCTGAACAGGTGTCCCACATACACAGGGCCTTTTCTTACAGACTTCNTATATATATATATACTATTTTATTTTTTTGTGTTGTTGTCTGTGGGTTGGCAAAGAAAGTGCCTGACCAAAGTCAATGCTGTTTTGGGAAAAGTTTGTGAACCCCTGGTTTAGGGTATTTACAATATTGTAGAAAGACTAAACGCCACTAGATGGCACTGTTTCTTTAACAAATGTCTACAGCTGTGACAGAGTTGAGTTAAACAGGTTCCAGTTTCTGGTTTAATGTTTTAAACAGGAGGAAAATTTAAATGTAGCTCTACAGAATGTGTTCCCCTCATTTTGCCTAAAATCCATCCACAGCTACAAAGAAATCGTGATGCGACTCTCCAGAATCCACCATGACAGACCCATGAGTCCTCGGGACGAGGCCGTCTTCAGGATCAAGTTCACCATGAGGAACAAAGGAGCCAAACACCTGAGGGTCCAGGCCCACAAACTCACCTGGTACCAGTACCACAGCCTGGATGTCCTGGCCTTCCTCCTTGTTATACATCTGCTCCTCATCTTCATCCTCTTCAAGAGCTGCAGCTTCTGTTTCAAGAGATGCTGTGGGAGAAAAAATACAAAGAGAAAAGCAGAGTAGCATCTTTTTTATTTTGAGATGAGAATAAGCTTAAAATGTGTTGGATAAATAGTCATTTTGAGTTGCATTACAACTATTCATAGATTCAAATTGATTGATTTGTGACTGAAACAAGTTGCTTAAATTCATCTACATTTGACAAGTTAGAAAAATTAATCCCATTAGTCAAAATCAATAGCACACAAAATCATTCTCTCAAAACTACAGATGTAACTTTTTATATCAGTTATTTTATGTAAAATTTTATAACCTGCATTTCAGTTTATGCCAGAATGAATGTGCTATGTTAAAATTCAACAGCATTATGAAGGGTGGGGTGGAAACAAAGAACATTTAACCTTAATAAAACAGCTTCACATTACAGCCAGTGTGTTTCTTTGTCATTGTTTCATCTTTTTCAGTAACTCTTTTCTCTGCCGGTGGATTTTAGGTTCCTGAAACTGAGTAAACACTTCAGACTGGAGGGCAGGTCCCAGGATGAAATCATTATTCATTGAACACCCTGAAACACTACAGACTCCATCAAAAGGGATTAAACCAATATTCAAATGTGTTATTGTTTCTTTGGACCCAGTTTCATTCAGTAAAGTAATCTGCATGGGTCATGAAGGGGACAAAATGTCCACATCTGAGGATTGTGGATAGTGAAGCTCATCTGTATATGGGAGTTTTCAGAACCATGCAGCTGGTGCCCAAATCTTAAGATTCAGGTGCTTACCTCACCTGGATCCTATAAAAACTATTGTAAATCTGTTTTTTGGGCAACAGTGGACTAACTTGGAGTGTAACTGCGAGGGACGGAAACCCAAGTCTTGATCCAAATGATGTTTTGCTTTTAGATTTTGGACTAATTAGTATCTAGTCTGGTAAAAACCAGTCCATTACTCTTTGCTTTGCTTTGGATAAAGGGTCTGAACCTTCAGCGATTAAGAATCAATTGCTTCATTTAGAAAACAGAAAATCTGACCAGATCGTAAAAAACTTTTCATCCACACTTCCAAATGGAGAAATACTAAGCTGTTTTTCTATGCCTTTAAAAGTAAGACTACAAACACTCACCTATCATTTGGCTATTTATTGGTCTTTATTTCAGAAATTTTTCAAGGGGACAAATAACAGATTTCTTCTTTTTTCATATTCTCAACAGTTTTTATCAGGCGAGTCTGTTATCTTACATTATTCCGTACAAAGAGCAGCAAGTCAGAGTTCATTTGGTTAATCAGTATCTTAAAGCTGCAGATGTTAAAAACACCGAAGCTGGTTTATCACACATGCACCATGGAGCTGCGTCTCTCCGTCTGCGTCCTGCTGCTGTTTTGTGCTGCAGAAAACTCAAATGGAGGGAAGATTTTGGTGTGGTACAGTGAGGCCAGTCACTGGATCAACATGAAGCCCCTACTGGAGACACTGGTGGACAGAGGACACCAGGTGACGGTCCTGGTCCCAAGCACATCGCTGTTCATGAACAGCAGCGAACCGTCTCGCTTCCAGTACGAACCTTTTGATGTCGACGTCTCATTTGAAGATTTAGAAAAAATTTTTGAAACTATTATTCACTTCTTCATGTATGAGATGGATTTTATGAACCCCTTTGAAATTTACGTAACATTTTATGATTTAATGAAGAACAATAAGAACATTACTTTTAAGTTTTTGGATGGCGTTGTGAAATCAGAACCCATCATGAAGAAGCTGAAAGAGGGAAACTACGACTTGTTATTTGCTGATCCGATCTACAGCGGAGGCGACCTGACTGCAGACATTTTGGGAATTCCTCTCGTCCTTTCTTTGTGTTTTTCCTTAGGAAACAACTTGGAGAGGATGTGTGGTCAGCTTCCTGCTCCACCATCCTTTGTCCCCGGTGCTGCTAGCAAACTTACAGACAAGATGGACTTCTCAGAGAGACTGTCGAACGTCCTCTTCTACGCTCTGCAGGACGTCATGATGGAACAAATTCTGTGGAAAGAAATTGACAAATATTACTCTGAAATCAGAGGTAAGCAACTCATTAGTAATTTCGGAGTATTCAAATTAGAAATACAAAGTTTTTTTATATAGACTTGTAAACATTATTTCCAATCAATTAACTAATAAAATCCTCTCAGACATTAGTGTTGTAGTTTAGTCGCCATCCTGAAGAGGGCGCCGCTGGTCATCGAGCCCATTGATAAAGAATTAAAGATGGCAGCACTGTCCCAGAACAGTACAGGGGAACGGTCCAAAAAAGGCTTGCAAATGCATATTATGTGGTTCTGTTTTGAAATATAAAGATTTAACAAGCTTCTTAAGTTTTATCTTTAGTAGCGCTCAGTCAGCCATGCTGCGTGGCGGAGCAGCGGGTAGTGAAAACAAGATGCGAGGGCATAACGCGTAAAATTTTAACGTGACGTTAAAAGACATGATGCTAATAAGCTGATGGTCTTTAGTTAATGCGCTTCATGGAGCAAAGTTTTAATATTCCTTCAAGAGTGAGACATGTTTTTGTTAATGGGGATTTAAGTATTTCCCATATTCTTTTCATATTTTATTTTTTCTATTTAGCAACCTTTGAGGTTTGTATTTTATTACATCTTATAAATGTGTAAGTTTAATAACGCGAGAAAATCGCAATGTTCTGTGTACTAATTTAGCAATACAGACTAGGATTTAATGATTTTCTTTTATTAAAGTCAGCTTATTTTTGAAAAATTTAACACTTTATGTTATGGAAACCGCCCTCTCGGTGCAAGAGAAAACTCAGGTTTTAAAGGAAATGACTGCTTACCAATAAGATCAATCAACTTTAGATTAGCTCATTGATCAATACTTTGCAACTCTAATTAATTTAGTACAAAAAAAGCTTAGAAACTTTAAAATCGTTGCTATTTGTTGTGTCCGCTGCATCAGGAACACCCACCAGTGCCTGTGAGTTGATGGGAAAGGCAGATATCTGGTTGATGAGAACCTACTGGGATTTTGATTTTCCTCGTCCACTCCTCCCCAACTTTAAATTTGTTGGAGGGATCCACTGCAAACCAGCTAAACCTTTGCCAGAGGTGAGGTTATAATCCACCATTTCAAATGTGTTAAGTTTTAAAATAAATAAATCATCACAAACAAAATACAGAATAAAAGCCAACTAACTGGCCTCATGACTGAAAAATGTGGTTATGTTGCAGGAAATGGAAGAGTTTGTCCAAAGCTCTGGAGATGCTGGGATTGTCGTCTTCTCTTTAGGATCAATGGTCAAGAACGTATCCACAGAAAAGGCGAATATGATCGCCTCAGCGCTCGCTCAGCTTCCACAAAAGGTCAAGAATATACAGATAAGATTTTCTATTTAAATCATTGTAGATAATATTTATCTAACTTCCAAATGTAGAGGTATGACAAACAACAACATGTCTGACTTACACATACTTTGTTTGAAAAACAAAATACATCAAAACTTGATTAAAAACAAAACCTTGCTTTGACCATTTTTAGGTGCTGTGGAGATACAGTGGCCAGAAACCCGAGACTCTGGGTTCCAACACCAGATTATACGACTGGATCCCACAGAACGACCTGCTGGGTGGGTAAATAATAGCATCCATCACATTTTAGCATTATTAGTGCTAAAATGTACATCAATGAGATGAACAGAAACACCACTCTGCAACGACAATTATAGCACTGCTAAAAATGTTTCCAAATGTTTCAATTGAAAATTGTTATTTGGCCTTAGCTTCTGATTGCTACACAAATGGATTTTAGCTTAGTTTGGTTTGCAAAGATTCATTATTTTGATCCAAAGAAGTAGCTCAGAAGAAATGTAAGAATCTGTAGTTATGCTGTTATTAAAAAAATGTTTCATGTAACCTTAAATAGCAGCTAGTTTGATTTGATCCATAATTTTCATAAAAATTAATAATGAATGTTTGATAACGTTGTTTTCAGGTCATCCTAAAACCAAAGCTTTCATCACTCACGGTGGAGCAAACGGGATCTATGAGGCCATCTACCACGGCGTTCCCATGGTGGGAATCCCAATGTTCGGGGACCAACCAGACAACATGGTGCACATGGAGGCCAAAGGAGCTGCAGTTACTGTTAAATTTAACTTTATGACAACTGAGAGCCTCAGAGATGCCGTAAATATGGTGATCAACAACAAATCGTAAGTTTTGTTTTCTTATGTGCCATTTACAATTTTTAAACAAAAAACTATTGGTTTGATCATCATTCCTGATGAATTGAAGAGGGAATGTAGAATGCCGAGTTATGGTGTAAAGCAGTTAGATGTATCATATGCAGCTGAGGCCTGTGGGCCATTTGTGACTCTTGGAATAATTATGTGCATTTCATTATCAAAACTTAGTAACGATACAAATTTAGCCTTATAGGCAGTATATGAGGGTGAAAACTTTTTTTGGGTAACACTTTATTTGAGACATAAATTTGTTATAAAAGTATTACTGATTAAACTTTAGCTTCAATAACAAACTACATAATTTTTAAAGTTTAATCAGTAATACTTTTATAACAAATTTATGTCAGATCATGATTTCTTGGTTAATGTCAAGTTGTCATTACAAAGACATTTTGAATCATGTCAACTTTGTATTAAAAATGACATTATTTACCAAATGACACTTTATGACAGCAGTCATAAATATTCATGAAGACTTGCTTATTATATTCATGACAGGTGTTATGTCATGTTTATGACGGTGTCATGACAGTCTTATTCACAACCCATCAAATAAAGTGTTACCCTTTTTTGTTTTAATTTTGGTGTAAAATGTGCACTAACCTGAGAATTTAAAACCTTATGTCCAACATAAAATATTTGGTTTATAGTAAATAGTATCACAAATATCAAGCATAATTTACACAAATGTAAACTTGGAAACAACTATTCATAAAACATAGTAAAATATTGTAACCAATGTCTTTTTCCCTCCTCATCCACAGCTACAAAGAAAACGTGATGCGACTCTCCAAAATCCACCATGACAGACCCATGAGTCCTCGGGACGAGGCTGTCTTCTGGATCGAGTTCACCATGAGGAACAAAGGAGCCAAACACCTGAGGGTCCAGGCCCACGAACTCACCTGGTACCAGTACCACAGCCTGGACGTCCTGGCCTTCCTTCTTATTATAGATCTGCTCCTCATCTTCATCCTCTTCAAGAGCTGCAGCTTCTGTTTCAAGAGATGCTGCAGCAGAAAAAAGACAAAAAGAAAAGCAGAGTAAAACAAAAGAAAAAGATGAATCCCTTTTGTACAATAAAATAAAAAAAAAATAAAGACGTTTGCTTGTGTTGTTCATAGCAATGTCTCATTTCTTTCAGTACATATACTTAAAATTATGAATTCTTAATAAAAATGAAAGAAAAATAAGTATTTCCTTGAAGGTTTATTCCAAGATTTGATCTGAACTGTCTTGATAACACCGGTGTCCTCACGAAAGCTTTCCAACGGTGACAGTAAAGGAGTTAAACAGCTTCACATTACAACCACCGGTGTGTTTCCTTCGTCATTGTTTCATCTTTTTCAGTAACTCTCTTCTCTGCTGGGGAATCTTGAGTTTCTGCCTCCTCTTTGGCTCTAATCTGAAACAGTTAAACTGAGTAAACACTTCTGACTGGATGAAAACATTATTCATTGAACACCCTGAAACACTACAGACTACCAAAAGGGATTAAACCAATATTCAAATGTGTTGTTTCTTTAGACCCAGTTTCATTCAGTAAAGTAATCTGCATGGGTCATGAAAGGGACAAAGTGCCCACATTTGAGGATTTCTAAGACTTTAGGTGCTGAAACAATCAGAAGTGACATTTCCCTAGAAACACTGATTCCCAAAAACTCCTGAATATTCACAAACCACAGATAACTCTCCACCGACTGTCTAAACAAAATCACGATAAGCTGACACAAGTAAATTGAGTTGCTTGCTCAGGTTGGACTCTGCCAATCAAAGTAGTTCAAGTATCTTGGTTTCTTGATCACAACTGAGCCAAAAAGTTAAGTTCTCACTTCACTGGTCCATGTAGATTCCAAGTCTAACAACTGATCTTTAGATATGGATCGTGGCCAGAAGAATGAGCTCCCAGTTGATGAATAAAAGTGTTTTCTCTATACGGTGGCTGGACTCAACCTCAGCGATGAGGTTAGAAACTTGTCGTCTTAGTAAAACCATAAGCAGAGATGCTGCTTTTCATATTCTTCTGTTTTGTTTGCTTTTGTTTTAAATTTACTTAGTTTGTGTATAACTCGTTTATTCTTTTATTACATCAATAAAGTCAAACTACTGCTGCTCATAATCCCAAGAGGGAGCTGAGGAAGTTCAAACATTTGCTTTGAGAATCATAAACTAATGAGGACATGTAACGCTAATTAAGGCTAGGCGCCTGACTACGGCCAAATATAACAAATGGCACTCAAATAGATTCGGTTATGGAGCCCGTGGGTGTGAATAAAATACCATTAGACAAAAGTATGTTTAAGTTATTGTATTCAACTTGTTTTTTTCTTTCATATATATATGAAGATATGCAATAATAATAATAATATTTATAATAACAGTGATTTTCTATAATATAACCAAAAAACACAACAAGGAAAAAACAAACACTCAACAACAAAAAACAATAAACCCTGATGTCACCCAAGAGTTTCTATTTTGGTCCATTCATGAATCCAAAGTGATCAATAGTCCATCAGTCAATATTTGATTGTTTTTTTCCTTTTTGTCCATGATCCAAAGCAAATAGGTCCAGAATGAGAAAACAGCTTGGTTCATTTAAATCCTACCGCGAAGCTGCGGTGATCCGGTAGCTCGCCATCCTGAAGTGACACAGGGGGTGGGGAAAAAAACCTGACCTAAACAAGGTCATGAATAAAAATAAAACAAATTAGCTGTCATGTTTAAACATTGTTAAACTGTTATCCAAAATAAAGAAACATTCAACAATTACAAAAAAAATAAACAAATAACTATATTCCATAAAGTGTTTTCTCATGAATTTTTCAAATGAATTTCCAATTAAAGATCGCGATCAAATTCAAAATTACAGTCAGATTTAAATCTGACCTTATTAACCTTAGATCTAATCTGACCTTAGACCTTATTAAAGTTACCGGTCAAAGGTACAAATCAAATTAAAGTTACCGGTACAGATCAAATTAAAGTTACCGGTACAGATCAAATTAAAGTGCACTTTCACATTATCTAAGTTTAATTGACGCAGTCAATTAAACTTAATTGACTTCCATATCGTTTCAATAAACAATTGTTTTTTTCCCTTTTATTTCGTTGCGCAACTCCCCAATAAAAAACAAATGACCAAGCCCAGAGTTCTATAGGCCGTTAGCAAAAATCAATCAATAAAAAAAAAAACTAAAACTGTCCTAAAAGGACGAATCTACAAAAATCAAAAGGCCTATTTAATATT